AATTATGCTTCGATTAATTTCCTGTTCTTTCGTAAGTACGTTTTGGTTCATCTGTTATTCCTACAGATATGATGTCATGCCTGCACTATAATGCATTTGTTATGTTGCAAATGTTCGAAACTGTGCATAGTTGTCGGTTTTGGGACCAATGGACAGCCCTTTCCTCATTTGTCATGCTGCGCTAAGTATTAGGCAGCGTGATACCGCAGTGCAATGCCTTGTGATAACCGTGCCCATGTGTTGCACGTAGATTACCGCGTACTTCTTTAATCGAGCGAAAAAGGGATCATTTATCCTCATTTGCAATTTATGTAGAGTTAATATAGAATTGATGTAGTGTCAAAACTGTGTCAATTTGGACAATATAAGGCCACTTAAATTAACGCGGACAAATATGTGCTTGTTTAAATGAGTTGTAGTGGCCCCTAAATTAAACTGTCATCAGTGCGCGGGCATTAGTCCACTAGTGATTGAATCAAGATATTAAATTGCGGAGGGGTCCTCGGAAGGCCACCGCGCACAATAGCCGCTGAAGCCAGTGTATTAAGTAAAATGGCTTTTAAAATTAACTATCAGAATAACTGCTTACTTAAACAGTTTTAAGTAGGGTGATTTTCCAAAATCTACCAACTTCTTCCCTCATTCGCCATTATTATACCTAGGGGTAGCAATAATACTAAAAAATGTACCTCAGTGTCCTTGCCCGAGGTCAGGCAACATCCTCCAACTTTCGCTCCTATTTTTTTCATTTTGTAGGATTATTGCATGCTAATTTGTTCCCTGACATACCCCGGCCCTCCTAACCCCTGAAACTAGGTGTCCGTAAAACCAAGGGGCGGGCTTTGCGCCACACGCAGGCGGCCAAACGACGTATTCATACCTAAAGACGTTGACGGACACTTCAAATTATCGACTGACATGCTTGTCCTACAATTCGGAGGTATCCAATCACTCTGATGATCTTAAATTTAACAAGCTTACGGAGTGCTAGATCACACGTTTAATACTGAGGACCATAAGTATGTACATCATAAACTTGGTAGTTGCCGTCCGTGCCATATTTGATATAGGACGCGTTAGGTTACGCAGTGACACGTTAGTGGTCTTTTTAGCGGGATGCATTTAATAAAAAGATAAACGGCACTTACCTCAAAACGCTTGAATGTGAGAACAACTTTAGATCCACGGTCAACGGTAATGCTCCATACGCATTTACTGTTTGCTGGATATTCTTTCGGAAATCCTGGACTTGAAATTTTACCCTGAGATGTCCTTGTATAGTCTCCACAACTTGATGCTGCAAATTAAGAAACTATCAAATCAACCATAGCAAAATACCTGATAATCTAACTAGCGCAAACGCGCGGTAGTATGCAAATTGATCCACCATATCCATGATTTTCTCATTCCAGTACTTATAACACAA